TTTTCCCGACCGTTGATTAAATCTATACAAATTGTTTCTGTATTCCGCTCGGTTTTGATTTCCTTATTTATTTCACACTTCAGATTATCCTTGACATAGATTGCTATTCCACCTCCTTTCCTAATCTGCTTATTGGTATGAAATAATTTGTAAACTGCAATTTGGTATTCGACAAGTAACTCACGTGAGTCTAGGTTTATCCATGTTTCGGTGAATGCTAATATCATCCATTTTGCTTCTCATTCTTCTACTGTGTATTTAAGCCTCTTTCTTTCCATGTAATTCAGTTGCCTCTGAAGATGTCTTGAATAAAGACGAACGCTAAGGTGCTCCATTGTTTACCTTTTCCCTGTGTGATTTTATCAAGATTTATCTTATCCACGTTTTCCCTCCCTCCTCCTACCACCTACTACCTCTCCCTCCAACCACTTACCACCTTTTCCTCCACTTACTACCTCTCCCTCCCTAGACCTACTACCTCTCCCCCCATTCACTTACTACCTACTACCTCTCCCTCCCTCCACCTACCACCTAACCTCTTCCTCCCTCCACCTTCCACCTACTACCTTTTCCTCCCTCCACCTTCCACCTACTACCTCTTCCTCCCTCCACCTACTACCTCTCCTCCACCTATCACCCCTTCCTCCTTATACCTACCACCTACCTCTCCCTCCACCTATTTCCTCTCCCTCCCTACACCTACCACATATCCCTCCCTCCACTTACCACTTCTCCCTCCACCTACCACTTCTCCTTCCACCTACTACCTCTCTCTCTCTCCACCTTGTGTGACTTGCTAATCCACTTTCCACCCTGTGGATATGATCTTTCATACTTTGTCAAATTTTGCCATGAGCTCACCCTCTTTTAAGAAGTTCCGTTTGATGACGTGTGCAATGCCATGTTCCTCACTGTAAAAATGTACTAGGGCAACCACTTCCTCTCAGCCTCAAGGAGTGCCAACTCTATTTTATCAGTGGTTTCCCCTTATATAATACGCACCTCCAATTCTTTTCATGTTCTCAAATATTTTAAGTGTTTTGGCATGTTTACATGATGAACTGAGCAAGGCGGTTGCCTTGTTCCAGTCGTTAAGTCCTCCCTTTATCATGGAAAAGTCTTTTGTCTACAACAGCTTTCAGCAGAATCAGAAAAGGCTGTTGTGTTTAATTGAAGTGTTGGTGGTGGTATTTTCTCCCATCCTTTCTCCGATGAAAGATGAAATCGGGTGTTTGCATTTGCGCTAGAAAATTTAATAAACGGACAAATATACTGTATTCCAACGGTAGATTACTCCAGCATTTGCTTATTATTACAAATAATACATTGAATACCCTACAATATAGGTAAACTACCCCAAAAAATTCTTGTTTACCCTAGATTTTGCAAATGCAAAATTTCAGCTTTAGCCTATTTGACAAACAAAATCAAGCGTAATATGTCGCCCCTCGCCTTCAATTAGCGCCCGAGGCGGCCGCCTATACCGCCTATGCCCATGACCGCCTCTGGTGGGAGAATTAGTAGGTGGTACATGGTGGAAGGGAGAGGTATTAGGTGGAAAATGGAGGGAAGAAGTGGTAGTAGGTGAGGGATGGAGAGGTAGTAAGTGGAGGGAGGAAGGGGTAGTAGGTGGAAGGTGAAGGGAAGGAGAGGTATTAGGTGGTAGGTGGAGGGAGGGAGAGGCAGTAGGTGGAGGGAGAGGTGGTAGGTAGTGGGAAGGAGAGTTACTAGGTGGAAGGTGGAGGGAGGGAGAGGTGGAAGGTGGAGGGAGGGAGAGGTGGAAGGTGGAGGGAGAGAGAGGTGGGAGGTGGTGTCATGGGTTGAGGAAAGAGGCCGTAGTATGAATCATAACACATTTCTGCCTGCAGCTTGTGTTGGCGCCGTCGTGCACTGAGTAAGGACCTGCATGATGACGGTGTAGGGATATAGTGAGGGTCTTTTAGTGGCAGTGTGAGTGCTGGAAACTTGAGTATTATGGTTGGTAGATAAACTTCAGTTGATGGGCGAAGACTGGTCACTCCTTGTGATTGATAATAATATTTTGATACTGTGTTGGGCCTAATTCCAATTATACAGCCAAGAGTACATATTAGGTATTTTTATCAGCCCAATCGTTTATATTTTACAAGACAAAATATAGGCGCTTCTAATTGTTTACAAAAACTTGATCTTTGTGCTCAATTTTCTTTGGATGTCGATAAAAATGTAAAACTTAGGTGGTAGAGCGGTACCGCTCTTGCCTTGCAAGCAAGATGTCACCAAGCAGCAAAGTAGGTACCTGCTGTAAATCGAAAGTTGTGAATTCGTATTCAGGGACAAGTTGTTGGAGCTTCCAATAACTTGCTTAGACATAAACCATTGACTCTTCAGGCTTCTACGCCCTTAACTCATGAGACATAAGGCCAGCATGAACTTGGCATGCTTCCCTGTTAGGCGCTGTAAATGCTTCTGCACTTCACCTTACACAAGGATGTTTGGGGGCGGGTGGGGTAAAGAGCAGGTGCTGATTAGGACCTTCTGCAGTGTCGGATTCACACAAGTCATCAACAGGCGAAGGCAGAGGGTCATCAGGTAAAAAATAGTTAACGATTATAATAAGATCCTGGGTGGCATCGACCTCAAAGCAACCAAAAAACACGAAGACCCCAAGCGCTTTTGTGAAATTCACATCTTCAGGGCTGAGTCAAGGAGTCTGTACTGTACTCACCCCTGAAGATGTGAATTACACGAAAGCGCTTGGGATCTTCGTGTTTTTTGGTTTCTGATGTGGCTATCAGCATATACAGTATATATATATATATATATATATATATATATATATATATATATATATATATATATATATATATATATATATATATATATATATATATATATGTAACCGGTCGGAATCACTGGACTTTATTTTCTCACTTGACTTGGGGTTTATTAAAGATTATTAGATGGTAATGGCAGTGGAAGCGCCCCTTAGTGAGAAATACCGAACCAGCACAAGAGCACTTAAATTTACTAACAAAATGAATTGTCCGTGACCCGTGGAAGGATAGCGTCTGTGACTGGGATGAATGAGACACTGTAAAATTTAGACACTTATATTCCCTCCAACACTACAACACAATCAAATAGTGGTACACCAATATGCGTACCTTTTAACCTGAACTTAAAACACTACTCTGGGGAATAAAAGTTATACATGATATTGAAATTATTAGAAACTCATACAATGCCTCATTAGACATCAATAAATTCAAAGTATTAAGAAGTGTTGCTTGCACACATGAAACAGGCCTTAAGGGTTTTCACAAAATAATATCCACCACTGCGAAAATGGTATAAAAAAATAACAACTTATTAACACCACCCTGAGTAGGCCTTCAGGGCACTCCACAAAATTGTACTACCCCAACAGATGCACACCTCCTAACCTAACTTAAACACTACTCTGAGGAACAAAGGTTATACCTGAGATTGAAATTATAAAGAAATATTACATGCATTAAAGGAACTAAATCACAGTATCACTTACAACAGAGGAGGAACCTCATCTGAAAAACAGTTCCCTCATTCTCTAGCATCAATTAGTGACACAACATTAAAAAACCATACTATCAAAATTATTTAAGAAATATTAACTACACACAGCCAGACAACATCAGTAACTGAAAAATAGTATTAACTACACACAAAAATATTATCACTATTATTAAGAAGTTACCGAGTCCACCAATACCCGTGAACCATGCTTCCTAACCTAACACACACACAGATTCCACCTGCACTCCGCAGTCGTTTAAGGCACAACCAACAGGCACCCGTAGTTTAAGGCCCAAATCAGCCTTTCTTCACCTTGGAAAGTGTACCTCTAAACCCCACTGACTCTTGGCCCCAGTGTGCGGCCCTGTATCACTCAGCTGGATTCACTTTACCCCCAGTACATCCATGAAACGGAAGGGAGTGAGCCAATCAGACCTTGTACAGTTGACAGAAGCTTTAGCTTCCCGTTAGCAAGAGGGTTTCACTAAGCTGCTTGAGACATGTGGTATTGTGAGCCGAGGTAGAGGAGAGCTGATGAACCCCAACGATCGTCCCGTCGTCAGCTGGGCACCCAGACGGCTAGATTCACTCAAGAGATCCTTTGATACCCCGCTAAACAGTGACAGGCCTACACTGATCGGGCCAATGGCGACAATCGCCACCCTCAATCATCAACGGCAGTCTCAAACGGCAGTCAATCTCTCGCAGTCAATTTCTTGCAGTCAAACTCGCGGTCAAGTGGGTTCTGACGGAAACCCTGAAATGAACTCACTGTTACCTCTTGTTAACTTTATCACTGCCCTATCTAAACCCTGTCTGAGATCGAATGAGACTTACTTGTTATACTGCAATAGTGCAACACAGGTGACTAGGCCACGTGACTATTTCTGTGACGGACGCGCAGGGACGTCTTGCTAGACGGAATGCCTCCACGTGACTGACCTAGCCAGCGTCGCGTCTCTCCAAGGCGCTAGCTTAGGCCTACGTGACATATTTTCCGCCTAACTAATAACTCCTTGGGACACCAGTAACATTATTCAGACTGATAAACGATCTATAATAATTCCAAATTCAATAATAGTCCCTTAACTTCATGAATCGCATCATTATTAATTCGGCAAATTATATTTAATATCATATAGGCCTAGTTCCACAACCTCTCACTATGTGCGGGGAGCCCTCTCTTCCCTCAGACGACCTTGAAAACTCAGTATCGCCAATGGCGCGGCGTTTGAAATTACTCTGAAATTTCTGAATATTATATATATATATATATATATATATATATATATATATATATATATATATATATATATATATATATATATATATATATATATATATATATATATATATATATATATATATATGTATATATACAGAGAGAGAGAAAGACAAAATGTATTTCAAAATTTTTAAGGAATAATTAATCGTTAGTTATCTCTCCTTCATATTTCTACATACCACATGTTAAGAAAACAATTACAGTATAGTGGGTAGTTCCACTTTATTAAAATTCTCAAAATCTTTATGAAGAAGGTGCATTATGGTACTCACCCTGATAGTGTCATTCTTCGTTATTATATCTGCTATGTGTATGGTAATGTTAGAGGTCGGCTCTACAACTTCCATCTCCACCTCCACATAACCGATGATACTGTAATTCCCGTTGATAAGAGGCTGTAATTTGACCATATAGTGCAGAGGTTTGAGGGCCCTGGGCAGTCTTACATTTATTTTTTCCTTTTTAGGTGGTTGAAAGGTAGGTAGTCGTTCTGGCACTTCTGGACTGGCCTGTTGTGGAAACTAAAATAAAAATAAAGAGTTATATAATTATACTGTATATCTATCTATCTATCTATCTGTCTATCTATCTATCTATCTATCTGTCTATCTATCTATCAATCTATCTGTCTATCTATTTATCTCTCTCTATCTATATATATATATATATATATATATATATATATATATATATATATATATATATATATATATATATATATATATATATATATATATATATATATATATATATATATATATATATATATATATATATATATATATATATATATATATATTTTTTTTTTTTTTTTTTTTTTTCATGTAGCTCCACAATGGAAACGTGGATAAGATAAATCACAGAAAGACTTCTGGTTGAAGCTTGTTTGATTAAGGAATTATAATCAATAAACCTTAGTGATGGTCAGTACAAAACTGATAATATGTTACATAAATTTATTTGTCAGTGGCCCAAGGTTAAAAATGCTTTGAAAACCTTGGAGCTGGATGTAGGATAGTTATTTAGTGGGTCACTTATTTTTGACCTGACTTGACTAGCACGTCACCCCCTTTTCTCTTAAGCTCCTCTACGTGTTGGGATCAGTGGATGACATCATTATGACCTGACCTCATGTTTAATAAGGTCACCCTGTATATTTAAGTCTCTCTCTGTCCATGTAATCCAGTTGCCTCTGAAGATGTCTTGAATAGAGACGAAAGCTAAGGTGCTCCGTTGTTTCCCCTTTTCCCGTGTGATTTTATCAATATATATATATATATATATATATATATATATATATATATATATATATATATATATATATATATATATATATATATATATATATATATATATATATATATATATATATATATATATAAAATCAACAGCCTCACCAGCCAGGAGTCGAACCCTTGACCTTATGCGTGTGACCAGGGATTGCTACCACCGTGCCACAAGGACACCAAAAGTAATCCTAGACTTTGTGTGAAATATAACAAAGTCTATGATTGCATAAGGTCGAGGGTTCGACTCCTGGTTGGTGAGATTGTTGATCATATATATCATATATATATATATTAGGGTGGTCCAAAACTATATGGTAAAAAATATAAGTAGTAATATATTGCCTCCACAAGCCTTAAAATTGTTCATTTGGTTCATAGATAAGGTCTGTAAAATTTTATCCATATTCATTAACATTTAGAGGTCAATCCATTTTGCATATTATACTTGTAGTGTAGGACTGAATTTTCTTGTCCGCATGATACAGTCTTAATATACACAACACATTATATTGGGTATATTTCAATGTAGCTGGGGCTGTAGCACAAGCTCTTGGACACGATATTGCAGACATGTCGTTTTCTAGGAGTACGATTCGAAGGTACAGAGCAAGTGGGCGTAAGCAAGCAGCTGAAACAGACCGAAAATCATTTTCTCCAGATGAACCTCTTCTCCTACATTGGGACGGAAAACTCCTTCCTGACGTACAGAACACAACTGCTAGTCGCATTGCCATTGTGGTGACATTTAATGGACAAGAGAAGCTGCTAGGAGTACCCAAAAAAGAGAGAGAAACTGGAGAAGCACAGGCCGAAGCATGTTTGGAAGCAATTAAATCATGGAATGTTGAGAAATTGGTTAAAGGACTTGTATTTGATACTACTGCTTCCAATACAGGATTACATCGTGGAGCATGTGTCCGCATTGAAGATGAACTGGAACAGGAACTTGTTTGGATAGCATGCAGACACCATGTGCTAGAAATTATGCTAAGCGATGTCTTCAGTTTGATCTGTGGGTCAACTGGAAGTCCTGAGACTATTCTGTTTAAGCGCTTCAAAAAGCAGTGGAGGTCCATTTCGCTCAATGACTTCATTCCAGCACCAGAAAGCATGTTTGAGGACCCAATGCTTCAAATTCTAAGGAAGGAGTTGCTTGAATATTTGCCAGTAGCCCTGCAGGATAATCAGCCACGAGATGATTATAGGGAGTTTCTAGAACTAGCTCTTTTGTTTCTTGGTGGACTGCCAAGTAGTAAGGTTTCCTTTCGAGTTCCTGGTCCTACACACCATGCAAGATGGATGGCAAAAGGAATCTATGCTCTCAAAATCTATCTGTTCAAACATCAATTCACATTATCAACACGGGAAGAAAACAATATCACACAACTGGCTTTGTTTGTGAGCATAATGTATGTGAGATTCTGGCATGAAGCACCAATGGCTGTTCGAGCTCCATTCAATGATTTGCAGCTAATGAAGGTTTTAAAGGAATATCCTCATGAGAAAGTTGCACACGCAGCACAAGCAGCAATTAGCCGACATCTCTGGTATCTATCAGAACATCTTATCGGTCTAAGCTTATTTGATGACAGGATCGATACTGAAACCAAGAAGAATATGGTACAAAACTTCCAGTGCCCAAAGAAACAGGACTTTTCAAGGCGTATTGTCCTATCTGATGAAACTCCTATCAGTAATGTGGCCTCATTTGTTACTGAGCGTACATTAGATATTTTTGATGTTCTTACACTAGATGGCAAAGAAAGAGCACAACTGTTCTTGAGTAAGGATCCCAAAACATGGAAAGACGATGAAGTGTTTATCACAATGAGAGATCGTGCGATAAATATGAAGGTGGTGAATGACAGCGCAGAGAGGGCAATTGCTCTCATAGAGCGTTATAATGAGTCTATAACGCAAAATGAGGACCAAAAGCAGTACCTTTTACAGGTTGTTGCAGCTCATCGCAAGAAGTTACCAACGGCAAGCAAAGCTGCTATGATGAAGGGATACAAATAAAGAATGTGTATTGGTGTTCTAGAGTTATTTAGTTTGTAATTTGTAAAACTTATAATTGTATTTTGCTGAATAAAGACAATGTGTTTATAATGTGTTTATCTAGCCCCGAAAAATCCTTATTACGTACTAAATGGAAAAAAAGAGGACATTGGATTGACCTCTAAATATGCTTTAAATGATCCAATTTTTTTCTGGGATGCATTTTGTACCTAATGGACAAAAATAAACCTTGTGGAGAAAACGTATACAAATATGTGATATTTTGGACCACCCATATATATATATATATATATATATATATATATATATATATATATATATATATATATATATATATATATATATATATATATATATATATATATATATATATATATATATATATATATATATATTTATTTATTTATTTACTTATTGATAAAATCACACAGGGAAAAGGGAAACAATGGAGCACCTGAGCTTTCGTCTTTATTCAAGACAACCTCAGAGGCAACTGAATTACAAAGACTGAGACAGAGCTTATGTACAAAGGGTAACCATACAAAACCTGAGGTCAGGTAAAAAAAATGACATTCACTAATCCACACAGCAAACATAAGAAGAGATTATAAGAACGGGCGACATAACTAGTCATGTCACATCAGGTAAAAAATATGAGACCCACTGATCATCTATCATATATCTACCTTACATGCTTTGAAAGCATTTTTAACCTTGGGCCACTAACAAATAAATTTGTGTAAAATATCAGTTTTGTACTGACCATCACCAAGGTTTAAAGAATACATTTTTCTAATCAAACTTGCTTCAACTAGAAGTCTTTCTGTAACACATGCTGATTAACACACGTCTAAACTGTTTTCCCAATCTGTGGGATGGTTATTGTTCCTTATATGAACGAAAAGTGCACTGCTTTCGGATGCCGTTTTAATATTGTACTTGTGTTGTTTAATTCTAAGTTGCAATATTTTCTCAGTCTGACCTACATAATTTCCATTACACTTGCTACATGACATACAGTAAACACTTCCATTTACATTCAAGATTGGGCTATTCTTTATTAACATATTAGTAATAGTTGAATCACACTTTAAAACAACTTTAATGTTTAGTAATTTAAGGGACTGAACTAACGGGATAAATTCATTGCGATAAAGTAGTCAAAATATTCTTGAATGTAGGAACTTGCCTAGTTTGAGTAGAACATAAGAACAACATAAGAATGGAGGAAACTGCATCGGGCCTATTGGCCCATGAAGGGTACCCAAGGTTTTGTGCAATGGACGGAATGTGTTGCAGTTTTTCTTCGATAAATTCAGCGTCACAAATACTCAAACATCTCAAAAACATAGCAGAAAAACTGATATTTTGGAAGACTCACGGTGACTCTATAAAAAATTTATGAAGCTATCTACCTGTGTAGGCTTTCTGTACACCTTAAATTTATAGTTATGTCCACTTCTCATGATAAGCTATCAAAAAAAGGAAGAGATCCATTTTTCTCTCTTTCAATTTTGAAGGTAATACTAGGGACAAGATAATTAAGCTTGTCTAAAAATTCCATTGGGTCACTGTTTCTAGGCCATAGACAAAGCACATCATCTACATATCTATACCATGGAGGAATAAAGTCACCTATGTTGGGTAGTAATCTAGCCTCAAAAAATTCCATATAACTACAGGCAAATGGAGCAGAAAGACAATTGCCCATGCTCATGCCAAATATTTGTTTGTAAAACTTTCCATTTGCTCTAAAAACATTATCAGTAAAGCATAACTCTATCAGTTTGAGAAATGTATCATGTTCTCTAGTTAAAACTAACAGAGGCAACTTATCTTTAAGGAATGAAACTACTTTCATTCCTTAAAGATAAGTTGCCTCTGTCATTCACTGGTACTCTAGTGTAAAGGGGATTTACATCAAAACTTATCAATTAACATGGTTCATTGTGTATCTTGAGTTTATCAATTAAATCATTGCTGTGAATTAGATAACTGTTCTGTAAGCGGGGATAGCATCGTAACCAACCACTTGGATAATTTGTATATAACAGAACCCACAGAACTCACGATAGGGCGTAATGGATTATTAAGTTTATGTGTACAATTACAATATTAGAACGGCATCTGAAAGCAGTGCACTTTTCGTTCATATAAGGAACAATAATCATCCCATAGATTGGGAAAACAGTTTAGACATGTATAAATCATCATGTATCACAGAAAGACTTCTGGTTGAAGCAAGTTTGATTAGAGAAATGTATTCTTTAAACCTTAGTGATGGTCAGTATAAAACTGATATGTTACACAAATATATTTGTCAGTGGCCCAAGCCTAAACATGCTTTCAAAGCATGTAAGTTAGATCTATGATAGATGATTAGTGGGTCTCATATTTTTTACCTGACGTGACTTAACTAGTTATGTCGCCCGTTCTTATAATTTCTTATTGTGTTTGTTGTGTGGTTGGTGTGTGGATTAGTGGATGTCATGTTTTTTGACCTGACCTCATGTATTGTAAGGTCACCCTGTGTACATAAAGCTATCTCTCAGTCTTTGAAATTCAGTTGCCTATGAAGATGTCTTGAATAAAGACGAAAGCTAAGGTTCTCCATTGTTCCCGTTTCCCTGTGTGATTTTATCAAGATTTATCTTATCCACGTTTCCATTGTGATATTTACACCCCAGTTGCACCACTTTTCCTCAAAACTCTCTTATTAGTCATGCACAACATTAGTTCCAATATGACTAATAATTTCTCTTCCAGCATCTCCTTCACCAATATCTCCAATTCCTCCTCTAACTTCCCTTCTCTTTCTCACCATCTGCCTCTGAATTATTCTTTCTCTCTTGTGAGTCTTTCACTGTACATTCTCTCAATATGTCCATACCACAGCTTCTTCCATTCATTTACACCTACTGCCATATACTTGAAGCCTTCCAATTCCTTCAGTCAAACGCTAATCAAACTAATATTCATAAGAACATAAGAAAATAAGGAGTCTGCAATAGGCCGGTTGGCCTGTGCATGGCAGCTCCTGTCGAGAGTTACTACCACTCTCTATCATCCATGAATCTATCCAGCCTCCCATTGAAACTTTCCAGCGTTCCAGCACTTACTACAAGGTTGCTAAGCTTGTTCCACTCGTCCACCACCCTATTTGTGAACCAGTTTCTTCCTATCTCCCTCCTAAACCTAAACTTATCCAACTTGAATCCGTTGTTCCGAGTCCTGTCCTGCTCGGATATTATAAGAACTTTATCTATATCACCTTTATTGATTCCGTTCACCTACTTGAATACTTCTATCATATCTCCCCGCACTTTTCGTCTTTCTAGGGAATGCAAGTTTAATTTCTTTAACCTATCCTGATATGGAAGGTTTCTAGGTCCCGGAATCATTTTTGTCATTCTTCGCTGCACCGACTCTAGTGAATTGATATCCATTCTATTATAAGGGCACCAGAACTGAACCGCATAATCGAGGTGCGGCCTGACTAGCGCAAGATATAGTTGCAATAAGACCTCTGCACTCTTATTACTTACACTTCTAGATATAAAACCCAATACTCTGTTTGCCTTATTTCGAACATTAACGCACTGTTTTCTAGGCCGTAGGTCCGGGCTTACAAGTACCCCTAGGTCTCTTTCACAAGTCGACTTCTCTAGGTTGATGTTGTTAAGGCTGTATACATTGGCAGTATTTGTTCTTCCAATATTAAGCACGCTGAACTTGCTGGTGTTGAATTTCATTTGCCATTTTTCAGACCACCCATGCAGTTTATTTAGATCCTCCTGTAATGCATTTGCATCCTGCCCTGAATTAATCTGCCGCCCTATTTTGGTGCCATCCGCAAACTTGCTTATGTCACTGATGATCCCAGTATCTAGATCGTTTATGTAGATTATGAACAAGAGTGGGCCTAGTACTGACCCCTGGGGAACCCCACTGGTTACACGACCCCACTCAGATTTAACACCATCTTCGCTGACCCTCTGCGTTCTATCGGTGAGCCATGATTTTATCCAATTTAAAACTTTCCCCTCGATACCATGAGCCTTAATTTTTCTCAGAAGCCTCTGATGCAGTACTCTGTCAAATGCTTTGCTAATGTCTAAGTAAATAACATCGTAATTTTCGTCATATCTACTACCTCGAAGACTTTCCTAAAAAATGTCAGCAGATTTGTTAGACAAGAGTTTACTTTTGTAAACCCATGTTGAGAGTCGTAGATTAATTTGCTTTTCTCTAAATGCGATCGGATGTTATCTGCTATAATTGATTCAAGAAATTTTCCCACTACTGACGTCAAACTGATCGGCCGGTAATTTGACGCTGATGCTCTGTCTCCCTTTTTGAATATGGGTACTACATTTGCCTGTTTCCACAAGTCTGGCACAACTCCGGTGTCTAATGATTTTGTAAATAAGTTTACGAGGGGTCCGCTAATCTGTTCCCTACACTCTTTCAAGACTCGAGGGAAAATTTCATCCGGCCCTGGGGATTTTGTCTTCTTTAGTTTATTTATCTTCTTAAGAACATCCTCTTTTCTGATAATGATATTCTTTAATTTCTCTTCTTCTTTTCCGTTAAATATCAGTTCCACCTCTGGAATTTCATCGAGAATTTCCTCTGTGAAAACTGATAAGAAGTAGCTGTTCAATGCTTTGCTTATTTCTTCACTGCCATTTATCACTTCTCCTCTCCCTGACTTTAAAGGCCCAACTTTGTCCTTGAACTTTGTTCTATATACCTGGAAAAATCTTTTGGGATTCGCCTTGGATTCTCTTGCTATTTTGATTTCATAGTCTCTCTTTGTTTTCCTTACATTTTTCTTAACATTCCTAGATAGTTCATTATACCTATTTCAGAGCTGCTCCTCTCCTCCCTTTAATTTCTTATATATTCCTTTCTATATTCCTATGTCATGTTTAAGTTTTCTGGTCATCCACCTTGGCTCATTCTTATTTGACCTAATTATTCTGTATGGTATATTTTTTTCTTGTGCTTTATGTAGTATACTAGTGAATATATTATAGTCATGATCAATTGTTGTGTCATGATTAATTGTTGTGTCATCTATGACCTCACCCCTACCTACTGGTGATTGACGTGACTGTTCCCAGGTGACCTCACCTAGGTACCTTCTTAACTCCTGATAATCCGCCAACCGAAAGTTTGGGACTCTGACCATATTGTCATTGTTTTTCGTTTCCCAATTTAGGGTGAACCTGATTTCTCTGTGATCACTGTTACCTAGTTCTTCCCCTACTGTGATATCTCTGATAATATTTTCTTTATTTGTTAATACTAGGTCTAATATATTGTCACCTCTAGTAGGTTCTGTAATTAGTTGCTTCAAAAAACTATCCTGTACTGCGTCTAGGAAGTCTTCAGATTCATAGTCACCTACAATGTTGTCCCAGTCAATATTTCTGAAGTTGAAATCCCCCATAATGCACAGGTTGTTATATTTTGCTGCCCTACTCATTTCCTGCCACATGGGCTGAGCTGCTTCTTTCCCAAGACTTGGAGGCCTGTAAATCACTCCCATAATTAGTTTTTCTCTTCCTTCCGTGATTTCTACCCATACAGACTCGGTTCCTATTTCACCCTTTATTGAATTATTAATACAACATTTTAATGTATCCTTGATGAAGAGTGCGACCCCTCCCCCCTTCCTACCTTTCCTATGCTTGTGAAAAAGGTTGTACCCTTCTATGTGGTACTCTGATAAAAAAAATTTGCTCGCCAGATTCATCCAAGTTTCGGTGATTGCTATGACGTCTACATTCTCGGTACATACAACCGCTCTCAGCAAGTCTATTTTATTTCTAACGCTCATACTGTTTGTATAGTATACATATAAACCTACCCTTCCCTGGTTTTGTTTTACCCCTTGTCCTGAGTAACCAATTTTACTTCCCAGGACCAGCTTGTTTTTTTACTCCCACTTACCCCGACCTCTCTCTACTGGCGAAACCCCCCCTTTGGAGTAACAATTTCACGCTCCAGGGATGCAGACAACGTCTTTACCCCGCACGAGACAAGTGTACTCCGTCACGACTGTACAGGTAGTCGTTGCCATAGAATCGTTGCCAGTTATCAATGAATGCCCAACCATTGTTTGCACAATGTTTTTCCAGTAGGCAATTTATAGCAATTGCCCTGGACAGCCATTCACGACCAACCCCTCTTCTAGGCAAGACACCACATACTATCCGGATCCCTCCCCTATCTCTAATCTTCCCCAGCGCCTCCCTATACCTCTTGAAAAGTTCCTCACTCCTAACCTTTCCTATATCGTTTCCTCCCACACTACTGGATTGGTACCCTCCCCTGACAAAACCCTATCTATCCTCTCAGCTACATGCCCTATCCCAGCCCCAGGAAAACACACCCTAGTCCTACGTTTCCTATCTCTTGCACAAAAAGTCCTATCTAAGAACCTCACCTGGCTATCCCCAACTACCACGACCTTACCACTGGGCAGGGTCTGAACAACTGCCCTTTTCTCTCCTGGCACCACATCGTCCTGCCTCTTCTCTTCCTCATCCTCCCTCCTCTCCTTGCCAGCTTCCTCCAGCACCTGGTAGGGGTTACTACACTCCACACCCTGGTCAGCTTTCCTGAGTCTGACCCTAGTCCCCTTGGAGACAACCACCCTCCACTCTTGCTCCTCCTTCGCAGGTGTCCTGCTAGGCAGGACACCTACCTGAAGGAGTTCAGTCCTGAGGGCTTTATTTTCCCCCTTTAGAGTGTCAAGCTCACTCCTCAACTGCCCCAGCTGCCTTAACAGAGTGGCCAGTAGGTCGTCTTTCCTCACACCACGCTCCTCTTCCCCCAAGACACAACGATCCAAGGCGGCCATTTTCCTTAGTCACTAACGGGAGCACTTGGGGCCACGACCTTCTCCAAGCTGGGTCAGGTAGCAACTGAGCTGGGTCAGGTAGCCCAGTCTTCTTCCTCTGCTTTTTTTTATTATTATTTTCTTTACAATCTCTGCCAAGTCTCCTCAAACACCCTGAGGTTTCCGGGCCTGTTGGTACTGTATATTCATTGTTGTACTGTACTTAATACATTATGCCAATACTTAATATTACCCACCCGTTTCTACTAATGATTACTTTTGAATCATTTAATTTGTGTAGCTATGGATGATTTAATATTTGACATGTGATTAATTCTGCAACAAAAATGGCTACTCACCGATGTTGCTGTTTTTTCTAGTGACCTCTGGTCTGATTCCCTGACTTGCGGGGCATAGTAATAGACTAAGAGACCAGTGGCCACCGTGACGCTGACGAAGAGGATACCTAACAGGATTGCTATACCTCGGTTTAGGTAGCAACCATTCTTCTTCCCGAAGGACACAGAGGCTGCTGATTGGTTCATCTCCATTGTTAGCACTTCTCTACTCTGGCTGGAGCCTCTCATGACATATTCCAAGTAAGTAACCTGTGTTAATAAAAAAAGAAATAGATATTAGATATACACACCACATTCTTATGACTAATGCACACGAACAGTCACTCTTACACTTTATGAATTACTCCAAAAGGAGACAGAAAAACTACAATGCTGTACAGGCATATTCCTTTGACCATTAGTTTTGATCTTGACCGTTAACAAAAACTTAGTACAGAAAATTTTTCGAGATGTGATACATTTTTATATGAACATCTATAAACCCAAAGAGGTACTGTGTAGCTGAACTTGTGTTATCTAAATATAAAAACAAATAAAAATTAAAATGTCCTTTTCCTTTAGCCTAGATCCCTATTTTTTCTGAAGACCGAGAGATCGTAGATTAAAACAGAATAAATAGATAAGATCACAAAAATAATGGCATAAAAGTAAAGGATATTATCAGAGCACATGTGCTCTCTTTTGAAATCGAGATGTAGCTTGAACCTTAGGCAAATCTTCACTAAATCTGAATAATCTCTTCGTTGGCTGGTGTGTTAAGAGGTTAACATGACGCCTAGCACCAAATTTCTTCAAATCGTTGAATTCATAGAGAATAGCACGGTGCTACTCTATATGAATTCACCCGATCGTTGGCAATTTCCTTAAAAACTAAGTGCATCACCCACCAAGACAAAGGACTATGTAACCTGGAAGAGGAGCAGTAGCTTAAACCATTAGCTTGTATGACTAGGAAAATTGCTAGTTCATGGAAACATTGGAGGATGATTGCAAAGTGTACCTGATGCTTCTTAGGATGTTATTGTAAATGTGTACCAAGATGTGATCTACAGGTAATCTCTTTGTATCTGGTGAGGTGAGGCAAGAATAGTTGGACGAAAGCAAAGTTTAAGTGTTGAAATAAAGACTTAGTTTATAGTATATATATATATATATATATATATATATATATATATATATATATATATATATATATATATATATATATAAACAGGACTTGGTTGAAGTTACTGGGATCGCTACCACCGTGCCACAAGGACATCAAATCCAATCCTAAGCTTTGTTATATTCCACACAAGGCCTGTTCACGGGCAATCCCCAGTGGAGGTTCACGGCACTTAACAAGCAAGATAAACAGGCCTTGTGTGGAATATAACAAAGCTTAGGATTGGATTTGTTGTCCTTGTGGCGCGGTGGTAGCGATTCCTGTTCATAGGCAGAGGTCCAGGGTTCGATTCCCCACTAGTGAGGCATTGTTTGTATATGGAAGTCCGCGTGCTATATGGACTGATGTTATATATCATTGGTCTGACAATAAAAGTTGTTTGTTTTAGTATTTTACATAACATATCAACGGTTCAGTTGGAAAAGGTTAGAATAAAGAAAAATCACGAATTATTTATCTTTATCGTGGCCATCTTTAATTCGACTGTAACTAGTTAAGATTTTTTGCATTTTCGCATCCTCTGAGTTGTACTATGAAAATAAAATAGAGGTTTTGATTATAACCAATACCAATTTCATCTGAAAGCAATAATTGTTGCTCTTAGATGGTGCCAATACAGAAGCACACTCGGTTCATGGACTAACTCAGGAAAGTGAGTTATGCGCCACCATGCATAATTGAAACATATGTACAGTTGTGGAAGAAATTTCCTGGACATATGGCAGTAGCTGGCATGAAAGTATTTAAGGATCATTAGGTGAGTGAGATTGGAAATCAATGTATTTTTTCACACTTTGCATTAAGTAGCGTTTTTTCTATGTTGTGACTCCGGGTTACTATATCCGCCGTCCGGGCGGCTCTTTCGCGAGGTTCAAGATTTCTTAAGAGCATTATAGGAGTTCCAATCTTGAGAGTGAGGTGGTGAGGAGGCATTCCAGCGGGCTCCAAAGAATTAAGGATATCTGCATGGTACTGGACTGCTTGGTCCTGGTCGATTACTGTATCAACAGATTTGAATGAGGTCTCACTGCCTGGAAGCTGTCTGAGTAGAGTCATGTTGATTTCAGCCACTGTTTCATTCTTTGGTGCCAGAATTGCGCGTTCACGCAGCCACTTGTGATCCTTGTAGTGGTGGATAATGTTTGGGTAGACCATGTTAGTGAGCTCAGTTGAGGACTTTACAACATTTCCACATCCTTTTCAACCTCCGTGTGGTTTAACGGGTCGGGTCGGGTTGGGTGTGTCGGATCGGGTTGGTTGGGGTTTTTTTGAGATCCCCACCTGACACTTGCTATCCATGCCAAGTTTGGTCCGGGCGGCTCATTCGCTAGGCCACGGTAGGACGCCACCCTCCGGGAAGCTCCACATTGTCTCACTGTTCAGTCCCCAAAACTTCTTCTTTCATCAATAGTTCATTAACGGTGTATGTAAGTTCCACTACAACGGTACAGCAAAGAATATTTTTGAAGCATTAAACTGTTATTATTTTATTGTCTATTCATCACTACATATAACACCACCCATCATCACTACATATAACATCATCCATCATCACTACATATAACATCATCCATCATCACTACATATAACATCATCCATCATCACCACATATAACATCATCCATCATCACTACATATAACACCACCCATCATCACTACATATAACATCATCCATCATCACTACATATAACATCATCCATCATCACTACATATAACATCATCCATCATCACCACATATAACATCATCCATCATCACTACATATAACACCATCCATCATCACTACATATAACACCATCAATCATCACTATATATAACACCTCCCATCATCACTACATATAACAACATCCATCATCACTACATATAACATTATCCATCATCACTACATATAACACCATTCATTATCATCACTACATATAACACCATCCATCATCACTATAGATCGGTAAAGTAGGTTCCGAGATTCTCGTGCGGACACACAAAGACACATACTTCTTTGTATTTATATATATATATATATATATATATATATATATATATATATATATATATATATATATATATATATAGATAGATATATGTGTTACATATGTCTATGTATTTACATAATATCAAGATGAGTGCTGCGTATTCATTTAGTATCAGTCATAATTGCAAGAGCAGTTTCTATGAAAGAAGATATGAAAGATGTACTGTATGTACTTTATAATAATTAGTTTATTTTTTGCATTGGATGTGAATTATATTGGGGCTATTTCATTTCTAATATTTTGTAATTATATAATATTTTGTACTTGAATAAAGAAGTTTTGAGTTAATATTCTAATGTTAAAAGATGTATTGGTTGTTTACATTGAGGAGCTGCCTTCCTTCATGGCTGAATACAGGGCGTGGATGTAAGACCAGGAATGTGACTATAATCTTATTTCATTCATTGTGTATCCTACATTTTGGTGTTAATTTACTCCTTAACATTAGGGATGAATACTAAGTGATACTTTTGTGACATCAGTCAGCCTTCAGTGAGACAAGACGGCAACATGTATGGCATTGTAGGCACTCCTGTTTGGCAGCCTGGTCAAGTCTGTTGGGCTCTGCCCCCTCCCTCCCCTCCCCCTGGCTCCACCCCAATTCCTTACCAACCTAACTACACCGGGATTTATCAACAAATCATTCAAGTAATCAGTGCATTGAATGATTATCAAACAGTGATCCAATAGCGTATTCCAAGGAAAACACAAAAACGTGTGATTCACAGCAAATCACCAGTGGCCAGTGTAGTACCAGACTGTGGGTACTAGACCGTGAGCACTTTGCCGATGACCTTCAAAGTGCCAGGGACACAGACTACTGGGGTGTTTACCATATACTGTGGGTACTGAGTTGGCGACCTTCAAATTGCCAGAAACAAAGAGTACGGCAGTGTTTACGACAAGACAAATATTAGTTGATGTCTACCAGTGCACTATGTCACCGCGGACAATCAATTCCGTATGTCCACAATAACAGATATCAACAGATGTCCACCATTGAAGTACTCCAGGCACACCTTGTACAGTTTAAAGTGAGGAAACGGATATCCTGATGGCAGTGTTATTGTGCTACTAAAATCACTGAACATATTCCATGATCGTAGACATAGACAAGGACGTCATAAACAGAAGCCCATCAAGACTATTACCTCCAGTAGAAAACCAGAGAAACCTACTCCTGACAGACTGTACCAATACATTGAAGTCTTCTGAATATGGTATAGTCCTCCCCCCTTACTAATCTCCAACGTCACATCCCTCGCCAACAAATTGATGAGCTCCCTACCACAGTCTGGTCAGTTACTGGCAACGTTGTTGCCATCTGCAAGGCGTGGCAAATTGTTCTTCAAACTTGCCACATTGCAGGATATCAATTCTTTCACACCTTCATACACACCTATGAACAATATCTGTCACACCTGGATGTTTTAGTCCCAGCTGATGTGGAGGCATTATGGGTATGTGTTTTGCCACGAGCCTACCCTCGTCATACTGCCGCTATCATATAATATATATATATATATATATATATATATATATATATATATATATATATATATATATATATATATATATATATATATATATATATATTCCCGCTTATTGGCAACAAAACCACATAGGTTGATAAGTATATGAACGTATGGTGTCGGTAAGTTTGTCTTTTCACAGGTTATCATTGCAGTATTCAAGATCGGCTTTTCACATTAGTTAGGGAATTCTCATTTTACTTATTTTCACGCTGGTACAACTAAGGCTGAATAAGACTCCAAGACGAAAGTAAGAAAAATACTATGAATGGACTTAGCCTGATAGATGAGCCGTTTGGTTTGACACACGTTGGACTATAGAGACACCAGCAGAGACGTTACAACACTGGAGAATATGGAGGTACTGTACTGTACAGTACGTTGACCCATAGCAAAAGTTATATTTAGGATGTAGGGTAGAGGAGTGAGTTAGCTCTTAGGTGTGTGCAAGGCTTTTTATAAGCTCATATTGGGGCTTGGCTAGTGTGACGTCAATTTTAATACAAATTGATGAGTAACCACTCA